TCATGTTAAATTTCACACTGAGTGCCAGGCCCAGGCTTTGGGAGTTTATATGTGTTGAATACGTAAGCACTCCAGATCAGCAATAAAGATCACAGTCCTCTACCCTACTGTCAGGCTTCAGCATCTTGGTTTGAGAAACTCCCAGTAACTAGAGACGGAGCTCTTCTCTCATCACTGTGCAGGGCAGGCACATTTGCATTTCTCAGTTAGATAACAAGGCAGAGTTCGCTGCAAGTCGGAGTTGCCGTGTTCAGCAGCCTTTAATTCCCTTTGAAACCATTGTCGCACTAGGCCAGCATGTAAAATTACATGCTACCACCTGTCCCAGAGGCTTGGAAGCTAACTACAGTTGGATGCAAATACCCTCCTTTGGGTGGGGAAGTATAAGCTACAGGCTCCATTTGCTAGTGATGTTATTTGTGACTTGTGATTAACAACGTGGCCTCATGTCTGGCCAACCCACGTTCCCTCTGGGGCAGATGATGGCTTCTTTCCAGCAGAACCTGGCTGATGAACTGCGATGTCGAAAGTTTTCAAATTCAATCATTGCTGCCGTTGTGCTGATTTATTGTGATGTTTTGTTTCTCGATGGTGCAGCGGCAATAAAGGACTCAGGGCAGGTGTAATATGAGCTTCAGTTCACTTCAGATTCCAACATTCTTTATAAATTATTCAAGACAAGGAACAGCTCCCCTTTTCTTTCTTTTGTTTGTTCACTCTTAAGTATAAGATCAAAGGAAACATTGGCTTATGCTGCCCTTTGGCTCCATGCACACAAACATCAAACCTCTATGGCCAACACCTTTGCTAATGTTTGCTGCAAGAAGAAAGCACCTAAGCCAAAAGATTAGGTATCTACTTAAGTCAGAGATGTTTCTAGGTACTTGCAAATACCATTGATTTTACTGCTCAGTTGGTTGGATGATGCTGAGGTGGTTAACTTGAGCCATTCAAGTATGAATGCTTGGATCTCAACACACATTAGTGATGCACGATAATGAAGAGGCGAGTTGCCTGTGATCATTAACTGCACCTGGTACAGCAGCCTGGGAGGTGAGACAAACCAGGGCTGCCCAGCTGGCAGGCCACAGGCTGACTCTGGCCCAGGAGGCATTAATATGCCGACCCCAGGCTCCTGCCTGGCCACCACCCCTCTCGGGCCTGTGACCAATGCTCAGAAGTCAGACGGCCAATAAAGCACACGGCTGCAATAGCAACTTCCTTCCAAAGAAACAGCTCCCTTAACTTTTCACCAACTTGAGGGCAGGCAGTTCCTTGCTTCAGCCACGTATAAGTAATGCCTGAAAGTCCTGACTCTCTCTGTGACATTTCCAAGCTGTGGCTGCACCTTCTTTTCTGCTCTTTATTGGAGTTGTTCGAGGTTATGCTGCACCTTTAAGGCATCTTCTTTTGTGGGGTCAGTGAAGCACACAAATTGCCTCCTGAGGTGTAGGGAGAGCACCGAAGCTTTGCCTCCTTTTCCCTGAGGTCAGGAGACCACTTTCCCCTCTGTGCTGGCTTGTGAAGAAAAAGGTGTAGACTATATAACTTTGCTATTGCTGCTACTTTTTGTGTGTGAGGTGCTGGCCTGTGTGGTAATGGTCACCAGTACAAAACCCTACGACAGACTTATAGTTGTGTGCCCTCATCTCTCCTGTTTCATTTTAGGAGAGGCTGATGTGCCTTGTATTAGAAGGCCAACTAGTGCTCAGGTCTTCATTTTCTCTAAGCATCAAGCTTGTCATTGCAAATGGGAGAGGGGCTTCTTGTGTCTGCCCTTCCTCTACAGAAGGGGTAGGCACCATAACTTCCTTAGCTACTTCCAAGGGTTTGTACTTGAATTATGCTGGTGTTTTGTAGGCTGCTGTGCTTGATTGTTAATTATACTATACCAGTGCATAGGAGGCCCCTTACTGTGCTCGGGGTCCATACAAATGAGAGATACAATGGTGATACGTAGTATAGAAAGCTCATACATTGACACTTTGACTAGGAAAGTGAGTGTGCTCCCCTTCTGGGTATGCTTAAAAGCATCTTTCCCCACTAGTGTTCGAGGGGGTCTTAACTGAAGGGGCTGGTGGTTGACAGCTGATTTAAGTGGAGTCTCCCCAGACTGAGTAGAAGAGCTTTACTTAAAAGATACCAGCTGGAAAGTTTGGTTCCCTGTCCCCAATCTCCCCTAAAATTGAATGAACTAAAGTTTTGCCCATGAGAAGCCTACTGGGATGGTTTTAACTGTGAAGAGATACTAGATGGTACCAGAAAAAGCTGAAATGTCAGCAAACAAGCACCTCATGCTCTGTAGACTACTCATTGGTGGAGAAATTTTATTCTGTAGCTCTTCTGGGGTCAAAGTAAAAGTGCTGCGGCCTTACCTGAATGGACCTGAGATGGTTCTGCATTTACTTGAAATCTCCATGTGCCTTTTAAGATCTATGCTCTAGGGTCTTCATTACCAAAAGAACTAGCTAGGAGATGTTGTTGAACTACTTACAATGGACCAAATTCAGACTTTGGAAGGGAGTGCAACTGCATTTGCAAAACTTCACTAAAATCAATTTGAAGCTAGTTGGAAATTCAGTGGCATGGGACAGACGTACCTTAACTGTGCTCTAACTCATGGCGCTTTATACCAAGCTGGCGGGGCTTGCAGGCAGGAGGGGGAGGGCAATGGAGGGAGCAGCACCAAGCTGCTGGCTGGGGTTTCCTTCCTCTCTACAGCTGGAGGGTTTGGGGGTGGAATGGAGCGGCCCCCCACCCTCAGCTATCCTAGCTGGGGTATCAGGGGGAGCCAGGCTGGTCTTGTGAGATGAGGGACCTCCATTCCACCCCCCACCTCCAGCTCAGGCTGGGCAAGCGAACAGCTCATCCTGCTCCTTTCCCCATCTCTACTTTGCCCAGCCTGAGCTGGAAGGGGGCTGGAACAGAGCCCCCTTGCCTTGTAGGCCTAACCTGGCTCCCCCCAATACCCCAGCCAGGGGTTGCAAGGCGGCGCTGGGGCTCTGTTCCACTCCCCACCACCACCTCCAGCCAGGCAGCAAACCCCAGCCAGCAGCTCTGTGCTGCTCCACCTGCCTGCCTGCAACACAGGAAAGCACAGCCCACAACATGTAAAAAATTAGCTCTTGAGGGAACATAAGTTCCCTAAGATGCTGTAAAGCAGAGAGCCTTCATCTCATACCTCATTTGAGGGAGGGCTGATTTTTTGCACCATCGGCCATTTAAAAAGCACTCTGCAGCCGTGCACGTTTGTCACGGCCCAGCCGTAGAGCACTTTCAGAGGCCCAACTGCATGAAAAATGTAACTTGTGTAAGTGCCCATTAATTGTATCACACACAAAACATCTACTTACTGCATCACCCTTTCTACATGTATCAGGAAGCACAATCCACTACCTGCATATCAGTCAGACAGCAAGAAGGATTACCTGGGGACAGCATAGAGATTTCAGTATGTGCCTCTCTGAAAGCAGGACCTCAAACGTGGCCAGTCAAAAGGGATACATTGTGAATTAAATCCTGTAGCTCCATTTTGTGTGTGTTTTGAAGGATGTTGGAAGGGAAAGAAAGGAGACCCAAAGCAGGGAAAGCACAGTGACGTTGCTTCTAGGTGTACTGTGGAGATTATAAGCTATTTATGGAATGACCACTGTCCTTTAGGGCACAAGAGGGTGCTATATCCTTGAAAAGCTGATTGTACTCACTATTTTAATAGCATTTTGTCTATATGATAGAAATAAAGTACCCAGCCAGTGATTGTGCCTTTGTGTCTCATTAGACAGATGATTCTGCTTCATTTCTTCCCTGTTCTACCAGGAGTGTCTGAAATGTTTTGGACGTTTTAAAATATTTACAATGACTGAAATTTTAAAAGGAGGGGAAAGACTTTCTATACTGAGAGGGAGAGAAGAGAGGCACAAATCACCAAAAGCCACAGGAAGAGCTGAGCAGCGTAGCAGAACAGACAGACACAGAAATGTCAGACAGAAAAGCAGGTCAAGAGGAAACTGGCTCAAATGGAGAATAATACAGGAAAGGCTGTAGACTACAGCAGGGAGACAGGCGGCGGGGGGACATACTACAATTAGTTTTGGGCAGCTGAGAGGCAGCGTTGTTGTGTGCAATTATGTCTTTCTTCTGCACATAGCTTTGTTTGGCTGTCAGCTCTTTGGGGCCTGTATTCAACACTGCACTACACCTGGCACTGTCCTGACTGCAGCCGCTAGGCTCCTACCTTCCTGTCTATGACATTTCAGACATACAATGTGCCTTGAGGCGCTTTGCAGAAACTCCACGGTGTGTGTCAGGAGTGCAAACTATCACACTAGGGTCATCTGTGCCTGCTCACAGCACTCTCCTTGCAAGGTAAAGGATACTCGTGATTTACTCTACAGGAGGGGAGTCCTTTCAGGGCAAGGGGCTGTGGTTAGAGCCCAGGGGTTGGGGGCAGATTTGAGTTCTCTTGTTGGCTCTATTAGTAACATGGCCAGGGACCTCTGGCAAGGCAGGATTCTCCATCCATTTCCCATACATAACAATATGGAGCCATCTCTGAATATAAAGCATTATGACCCCAATTCTGGGTCTTTGTAACAAGGGGACCGGAAGGGAACTCCTGGGTCATCAAGTCTGTTCTCCCAGACCTCCAGGAAATGATGCAGAATCGCAGTCATAAGTTAAAGGCACTATTAATACAGGACATTCTCAGAGTATTCTTGAATTCCCACTGGCCCTGCCTTTTTTACCTGAAGCAGATAGGAAAGCAGCTTCTGATTCAACTTTTGGCTAAATACTGAGAGGTGCTAAGTACCTGCAGCTCCTTACAGAAGCATGCCCCAGTAGTGAGTGTCTGCAGGACTGGGCCATTAAAGGTTAACAGCCTTTAATTTTGCATGAGGAATATCAGTGGTAGCTCCTTTGTGCGGCTGATGGATGGATGGTTTCCAGACCAGAAGGGGCTCTTTATGTAACACAGCTTCTGCAGCCAGCTTTCCCTTTGCTTATTCATTTGATGATGACTAAGGACAGGGGAGCTGTCTCAGACCTCTCCTATCCTTGGACAGCTGAGCCCAATATAGCCCTGGTGGAGGCCAGAACAGCTCTGAGGGATGCTATAATTGTGACACTACTGCCTGCTTTAGGCTATTATGCTCCCAGGGGATAGTGACTGGTGTTAGAAAGCCCTAGCTAAGCTATTCTCTGTCTCTCCTTCCTGCCCCCAGCATGCTGCTAGTGCCAGGGGCAATGCGTGGGTTGGCACAGAACTGTCTACACTGGCTCCCTACTTATCCCCCTTGCCTGGGAGGAGGGCACAGGTTTGCAGCTGCATTGTCTCTTCATTCACACAGGCTCCCCTAGCTTAGACCATCTGCACGGCAAAAATTAATTCCCCCTCGGCTCCCTTCCTCCTCTGGGCTCTCATCGCCTTCCTCCTCTGTGCTCTGCTATCACAGCAGCAAGTGAAGTGAAACACGCTTCCCCTGGAAGTTTGTGCAAAGGTATAATCCATCTGCTATCCCAGGCACCAAAAGCCAAAGCAAAACTACCATGCAACATTGTTGAGCCCAGCTGGTCAGGATTGCCCCGTCTTTCTTAACAGTGATGTGAAAATGCAGGACTCTCAGTCTAAAATAGCATACCACAAGAGGCCATCCATTAGGGAGAAGGCTTTTTTTTTGTAAAATGAAGGGTATGGAACAAGGCACACAGGCTGAGATGCTAAATTTAGCTCTGAACATGTGCCAAGTAAGGACCGTTTTAGAGGGAAGGACACATTTGCACCCTGTCTTGGGTAAGCATGACTGTGATCATATATATGGATTTAGGTCATTTGTTGCTAGCTTCCTTTGGAGTTTGAGGAAAGTGTCTCAGAGGTATTTAGGCATCCAGTTCCTGTTGCTCTCACTGGAGTTGTGCTATTTATGCCTTTAGCCCTTCAGGGCTGTCCAGGCCACAAATCTGTGTGCTGCAAGGATGTGCACAATGGGGAATGATGAAATGAATAGCTCAGCTCCCTACAGCAGGAGCAGGCTAGCTCCCTCCCCCTGCCTGCCCACCTTTTGGGTGCTGACCACTCAGAAGCAGGAACGCACCATGCCATGGGAGGAAATAAAACACCTGACAGCATCAGGGCGTATTACCTGAACGGCTACTTAAACATAAACTGTTGCTGGCAGAGCTGCAGGGGAGCACCGATCTCTCTGTGCCTTTGCTGCCAATTCCAGCAAAAGACAGGCTCTTTGCTTCTTTAACCTGCAAAAAATAAAGAACAAAGGAGTCTGTAAAAGGCCATGTATTTGCCCAATCCTTCCTCTGTCCCCGGTGCTCTATGCTATTTCAATTCCCTGACAGTGTAAATCCTCACTTACCTCCCTCCCTCTCTCCCTCTATCCCACTCTCCCTCCCCCCTGCACGAGTCTGCTGCTATCTGATCTATGATGATATGTGATCTCTTGGATACAACCACACACACAAGTACCAGGCATTGCTACTCAGCTGAGCAAAATGTCTTTCTCCTAGCAGTGGTGCTTATCCTCATAGATTTCAGATCCTTGACGATGTGGCCATGCTGTCTCTTCTTCCTTCTGCCACCTCCTCTCTTTGTCTGCCTGCTCTTCTTACCCCTGGGGCACTTCTGCCCTCCTGTGTGTACCTGTATGGACTACCACACTATCGACTGCAGAGATCAAGGACTCCCCAGGGTCCCTAGCCCGTTTCCCCTGGATGTACGGAAACTTCTCATAGCTGATAACAACATTCAGGATATACCGTCTGATTTCTTTATCTTTTATGGAGATCTGGTCTACTTGGACTTCAGCAATAATTCCATCACCTCCATAGAAGAGGGGACTTTCAGCAGCTCCACAAAGCTGGTTTTTTTAGACTTAAGCTACAATAATTTAACGCAGCTCAATGCCGGGATATTCAGGTCGGCAGAAAAGCTGATCAAGTTAAACCTCGGGAACAATAATCTGGTGGATGTTGATGAGGCTGCTTTTGAGAACCTGGAGCAGCTCCAAGTGCTAGAACTGAATGACAATAACTTGCAGACCCTCAGCGTGGCTGCCCTGGAAGCTCTTCCATCTCTTCGGATTATACGCCTGGAGGGCAACCCTTGGATCTGCGACTGTGACTTTGCCAACCTCTTCAGCTGGATACAGGAGAATGCATCCAAGCTTCAGAAAGGTAAAGCTAAAAGGTGTGTGTGCGTGTGTGTGTGCATGCGCGCACATGCTGTTCCCGTGGGTCAGATTATCTGTCTGGGTGTGTTGCCTGCAGTGACCCAAATTGTGGGTTTTGGTCCATCCACAATTACATGTTTGACACCAGTAAGTCTAGTAAAACAAAGCTGGTTTCTTATAGCAACAACACTCCTACCTGGCCCCCCCCAAAAAATGTAGGACCTAATAATGTGTGATTTTGGCTCGGGCACTAATCAGGGAGAGAAGGAGCCTTTTCACATGGGGTGAACCAATGCTGATTCTCTTCCAGACTTTGGCTTCTTTCAGGTGAATAAATAGATTTCTTCTAATAAGCCCCTTTAAGGGATGAACATTTTGTGCCAGCACACTGAGAGAAAGGGATTTGACTCTGCCTTGCTCATCTATAAAACAGCACAGGAAGCTTCAGTCCATGCTCCCTATTTTAAACCACTGTGGTTGATCCTTTCCTTGGGGTTATTTGCTTTTGGTAGGCAGCATACAGATCTCTGACATCAGGTTAGCTGCTGATGTTGCTCATGAAAATAACGTCGTTTATAGTCTGAGAAGCCAATTTAGACATTGGCTCAAGCTACAGAATTGGGATCTGCAGGCAGTTTGGTTCTGGAACACCCCAAAGTGCAGGGGATGCGGTTTGGGGGCTTGGACTGGCATGCACTGAAATAGTATTAAGACTGTCATGTGCAGGCTTCGAGACGCCCTCCTCAACTCTCCTCTTAATCTGACAAGCTTTAGTTGGAGATCACAGCACAGTTCATGGCTCCCTACAAGCACCAGGTCATAAACTTTTGCCACTGAGCCACCTGGCTGGCAGTGAAAGGCAAACTGCCGGGAGCATGGGAGGTCACAGAGCAGCTCTTGGTGTGTGAAGTAACACCCTTTGTGAGATCGGAGCTGCAGGGTCTGCGTCTGAGTAGGACTGTGTTTGATTAGGGAAGGGGCTGGGATGATAAAAGACTGGGGCTTGAGGACTGGAGGAAGAGGATAGTGGTGGGGCCCCATCATCCAAACAGCTCCACTGTGTTCCCTGGATTGGCAGAGGCAGAGGAAGGAAAAGGCGATGTGAGCTAAGAAACCAATTTCAGTAGCTTCATTTTTTTCTTCTTCTCATGATCACCAGTGAGGTTGTAATAGCTTATGTCCCTGCCCTTGGCTGGCTTTTTCTGTGCTTTATGTACCCTCTGCTGTAACAAAAGGATGTTGTTTTGGGGAACAACTGATTTTCAAAAAAAAAAGGAGTGTGTGTGTGGGGGGGGGGCGTTATATAACCACTTGATAAGCCCCACTTTGCCCCAGCTCTGTCACCATGTTTAAGTCACACCTTAACCCTTCTTCCCCTATCATGCCCAATTTTGGTTTGTTTCTTAGTTGAAAATGGGCTCACCTGGGATCTCTACTGCTGTCTCTGAGTCAAACCCAGGCCCATTTCCCCCCTACATGCAAGCCCAGACTCCACCTGTTGTCCCACTCCCCCACCCCAGGTTCCCAGCTGAACCTTCATCCCAAGATCTTGTCTGAGCTGTATTTAAACTTTGCTCCCTAAACCTTTCCCTGTTAGGAAGTGTTGGGTTCTCCCACCTCTTTTTCTGACCCAGGACTTCCCCAGTCATTCTGACCTACCTTGCCCTCATATCCAAACCAATTCTGGTCAGGCCTTGTGCCCTCGACCCCAGCTGGTGTCCTGTCCCATCCTTTTTCAGCAGAGTTGCCTCCTTTCTCCTCTCACCTGGAATTGCTCTTATGCCTATTTTCTAACCTCGTTTCAACTCCAAGCTTGTTTGGCCTGGAAATCCCAAGAGATCCAGATTTCTCGTAGCATTTCCAGTGCTTTCTGTTATCATCCCGGCAGGGTATGCCCTCTGACAATATCTGACTGGGACCGCTTTAATGCCCAGGTGAATCAAGGAAACAGAAATGCTGGCCAAGTAACTAAAAGTATTCACTAGTTTCTTCCAAGCCTCAGAAGATTCACTTTGATTTATCTTCGGGCAGAAGTTCAAACTGGTTCTTTTTGCAGTTGTTTCCCCCCATCCCTATACCTCAATTCTGCAAACAGAGAGTTATAGCTTTACTCATGACAGCATATCGGCAGAAGGGCTTGCAGGATCAGGACTCAAATACCCTTAAAAGTACAGCCTGGGTGCATCTACCCATGCACTTTAATGCATATTAGCCTGTTTCAATGCACATTAAGCATCACTTAAAATGTGCTCTTTAGTTAATGCGCGTTAAGACAAGCTAATGTGCAATTTCCTAGTACCTCACAATGGAGATACTAGATTTAATGCATATTAACTAAAGCACATTAATGCACATGTAGATAGATGCACTTGTTGTCTCTTCAGTTAAAGACCTTATTTAAGGATGTGCAAGCAAAAACTGAGCCGCAAAGTGGGAGCATTGCTTTGTGAATCTTGAGGGAGACTGGACATGATTCTCCAGTGCTTTTCAACTTGTGCCATCACTTCCTTAGGGGAGAGGCAAGGATTTTTTACTGTCATGGCGGCAACATCACTCTATCACTTTCTTAGGCAATGTCAGTATAAAAATAGCATGTCACTATTCTGATTTAGAAGCATTTTCCACCTGCTTTTCACAGTGTAAGTGACAATGCTAAGTGCTAGGCATCTGACATCAGATGCTCTATCATTTTATGTGTTTGGTTGTCAAAGCCACATTCTGATTAACTTCTCTGATAGCATTACAGCCGGAAACAACTCTGCAAGGTAGCAGGAAAAACTGCACTCCACCTGGATATTTGGCATTCAGACTAATTGACTTTGTGATATGCTTCTGGATGTCTGGAGACACATAAAAGTGTTCTTGCTTTGAGCATGTCAAGAGAAGTGAGGCAGCCAGCATTATGCCTGGAGACGGTGTAAAAGTAGAAGAGGCAGGGTGAACTTCCAGGGTTCAAAATAAAAGAATGAATTCTGCAGCACACATTCCCTTTCTGGTTCGGTAGCAACTCCACTGTTTGCACTTGCTGGTGTGTATTAATGGGGAAAGCTAGGATGGCTGGTGATTACATCTGCTTAAGGGTCACTGAGAATAGGCTGTGATTTAGCAATGCAGGCTGTCAAGGGATAGTTCTATAAAGTCTCAAGCTTGAAACCACCAGATACCTTACATTTAACATTCAGGTCTGGCGGAAAGGGAACACATTGAAATACAGGTGAAATCTGCAGGATGCAGGAGGAACTGAATTGTCTGTGACCTACAACATTTTATGCAACGGTGTTGGCCACAAAGCATTGCAAAGATGGTGTAAAGCTTTGGCTAATGTAGTGGACATCTCTGCTAGGCTCAAAACTAGCTTGAGGTGTGATATGGTGGACTGGGAGAAGAGAAGGCCTGCCAGGATAGGAAGAGGATACACTCCTGATATTCGGTAGCTAGTGACTAACTTGCACTAGTGAGAGGTTCTAGACCTAGGACTTCAGCTTTCAGATGTGACTGTGGAGTATGGTAACCCTTTTAAAGGTCAGAGCTGGTAGAGAGAAAGGAAGGAGAGGCTGGGAAGGAGAAACATCAGGATGGCTTCAGATTGTAAATTTCTCTTGATCATGCACTTAAAGAGCATTTCAGGAGTCTCATTTTAATGGGCTCTGCCTCTTCTGTGAAATAAAGAGTGACTCCAACTGGAACCATTTATTTAGCCCACCAGCTACTCTATCTCTGAACTTTGGTGCTTTAGTAAGTGGGATCCTGATCCAGCTGCCTTGGATTTTAATTATACAAGCCAGATGCCTGATGTATAGGGTTTAACAAACACAAAATACACAGATTGTAGTCACCATATATGCAGTTTAAACCCTAGAACAATTCATCCCCCAAACCCTCTAACTGTGCAATCCAGATGTCTGGATTAATTGGTGGCCCGTGTCTTAACAATAATTCAACCCATGGCATTTTGCAAAACCCGTGTCCATTTTCCCTTAATTCTTATTTAAGGTAGAAAGTCTGTGAACTTGCAGGCAGTGCTGACCTGTCTCCAACTGTCTGATTGGGAAGCTTTTCCCCAGCTGTGCTGGTTTTTGCACATCCAGCTGTGTTGCTTCATATAACCAGCTAGGATTTGAGTCATTTTACAGCTCCCAGCATTTATTCATCCAACCCATATTTTAAATAAAGCATCCCGTGGCAGTAAGTGTTGCTTCTCATATGCTACATTGCAAACAGACTTGTAACAGAAGCTGCATATAAAGGTTTGTGCTTCAAGCTGAAGGCTGCCGATTGCTCTTCCAACATTGTGAAAAGGTTAAAAAAAATCTTGAATTTCCATCATGCTTCAAAACCAAATGTACATTTTTCCATTGGAATTTCTCCAGTCAATGAATCAAATTGTCAAAGGAACTGAAGTCTTGTTTAAAAATAAATGAAAGGTGTTGTATAGCAGGTTTTTCTTCTTGAAAGAATCTAAAAAGTGTTTTTCAAACTACAGGCAAAATTCACCCTGGTATTTAAGCTTTCTTCAAGTTATCTGCATGGAGGTAAAATGCATTCTATGAAATGCAGAACCACTGAGATATCTGCTGCACATTGCAAGGGGCCAGATACTAAAGATAACAAAGAATTTTATTTTGCAATATGCTTCTGTACAGAAAAGATAGTCTTTTACATAGCAGTTCTGCTGAACATCCCCCTCCATGTGTGTACACACACACACACACACACACACACACACACACACACCCACC